AAATATTCTTCTCATGATTCATATAAGCATCTACAACTATTGCACAAGAAAATTACTTTTGATTGTAATCAAAGCCTTATTTTTTTAGCATCTCTTTCTCAACATTGCTACACTAATTTCATAATTACTTTTAAAATAAATTTTTTTAGAACTAGAGAAAAATATTCTTCAAAGTTTTCTTGATTTGATATAGATGTGCAGAGACACATCCCCTGGTGGTGAACAAATTATCAGATAGCTTTACATCAACAATCCAAGATGACTGCCATTCAAGAAAATTTCATAAATGAAACTAGGAAAATTCTTGAAATTGGTGGTGCCAAGTTACATCAATGGGTATGAAACGGGTAAGACTCCATGAAAAGGTTAGTCAATGAAGATTTGAGAGAGAAAAAGTCAGGAAAGAAATAATATATATTTTTAAAGTTTGGATTATAAAAAAAAGGATGAAACAATTGGAAAAAATGAAAGCTATTAGTGCTCTAAAGAAAAAGAATATGAAAACAATCCAAATATCCTGGTTGGAGTATCTCAGAAACAAATATGAGGCTAAATATACATGTATCACATCATTGTTTCTAAAGAATCCCTTTTCACACATCTTGACACTAGGGCAAAGAACAAATCACAGAAGAAAGAGATACTGGCACTTATTGTGAAGTGACAGGATTCTCCAGGACTACACTGGTCCAAGTCACATTTCTGCTCATAGTCAAGACTATAAAGCATTATTTAATAATATAGAACATATTCAGAACTCTTGCCATTAAAATAGCACTTCTAAGCTATTGAGGTGTGGGGGAAAATAAAGAAATCATGCTCAGAACTGACCATGACTTGATTCAATATAAAAATGGGACTAGGAGAATTGTGATCTTGAATCAGTCTGACTCTGGAGTAGTCATTATCAGGGCAGATTGCATGAGATTCATCAACAATGCCCAAAAATATGAACTTCATATGGAAATGGAAAAGTTCTCTATCACATACAATGAACCAACCATTTGATGGGGTGAGATGAGCTGGTACCACATGGGGGGGGGGGGGTCAATAGAAGTCAATAAGATTGTCAACAGATGAGGGTGGCCCATAATCTGAGAACACAGTTGTTGCAGGGAGGAAAGTGTTGCGCTCTGAATGTGTACGGCGATTTAACTCTCGGCGAAAGTATTCCACTGTCATTCGCAATCCATCCTGAAGTCCCACCTGCATTGAAACATTTCCTTCCACTTACGCATAATTCTCTGAATAAATAAATTCCTCTCTCTTGCCTCTTTCTTCTGACTTTGATTTGGCTATGATGCCAAACATCAGGATTCCATTATTCCCATGTCTGATCATAGTTGGAGAAAGATGACATTAAAGGAGTGAGAGGAAGGAATTAATGCCTATGCAAGGCAGTACGGGAGAATGGTAAACTATAACACAGGAAAAAAAAACCCTGACTTTTCAGAAACTCATGTCAGACAAAAAACTTACTTGTATTTAATTGATGCATCCAATCCAACATCCAATTTCGTGTTCTACAGATGAGCTTCAATGCTTGAAAATATCTTAAATGTAGTCTCAGAGTGTACTACCCTATTACACAATGAGATAAGGTTTATGAGATAGATGATAACCAACTTTTTAAAAAATAAAACCATTGAATATTCAAATTTAAAAAGTAAGTTCCTACCAGATGCTTTCCTTGCATTCTGATTTAGAGAGTAAGACGTAAAAAAATCACATCCTGTTGGACATACATAGTTATAATCATAATGGTTTGATTTTAAATTGCAATAACTGCAAAATATATTCCATGGTTGTATTTCAATTTCTCCCTTGATATTGTCACATATAACTTAGGTATTATTTAGGGTTGTCACAATAGGTCTATGCATTTATACCACAATCGACAGTTGGAGGTATTGATAGTGTTTTCTATCATCATGATGTATCAGCAACATTTTTTAAGGGGAAATGTCCCATTGGATTGAGGGCTATCCTGATGCACACATCGATGAATGGATGTCATTTTTGATAGTTGAAGGTGTGGTAAGCTTCACTACTGGTTGTGAAGGTCATACCTTCCCTCTGATCACAAGAGTGAGATTATAGAAGATGGATAGAGGTCCGTGCCCCGATCAAGGCAAGAAACGACAGAAGTCAAACCTCTGCCCAATCACGGCAAAAAAAATTTGATCCTCAAATTTTCATGTTTGAATAAAGAAATTTTAGAAGATGTTAGTGACTCAAACAAACTTGTTACACTGCAAACAGAATACATTCACCACTGTGGGTCACCTGCCTAAGACTAAGCATTAAATCATCTGCTTGCTGACATCATAACAGGCATTAAAATCTGGTGGGAACTTAAATTGAAAAAAAAAACTCTAAACCTTCATTACAAACATTAATCATCCTCCCTGCCTTGCCTAATATTGTAGCATGAAAAATTTTAATTCATTGGGATTTCATAAGCAACCTGTTTGAGACTCCAACAAATTTGTCAGAATGCACAGGCCTATACATCTTTGGTTTGACCTGGTGCAAAAGATATATATTTCAATTTAATATGAAGATCATACTACCCATATAATGGGACCAACATCTACAATTGTGAACAGGTTCAGAGCCAGTGGGGATGTTCACAAATTTCATAATGCAAGAGGGGGAGGGGGAGGATCAGACAAAGTGTTACGATTTGTTATGGAGGGGAGGGGGGTTGCATGAATGTCACGTAACAGGTTCTTTCATTTAAAAAATAAATTATTGACTGGAATTTCTTATTAGAAAGGTAATTGTTTAGTAACAAATCACTCACACAACACGAGCCAACCCTATTACCCACCCGCACCAACCACCCTACAAATAGTGGAGTGGGCATTGGGAGCATGGGAACATCTGTTGACTTCCCTCTCCTGCGTTGCAAAGTTCACAAAGTCACAGTTTCGTGCCTGGACCTGCCAGACAGGCTCAGTTACCCCTTTGGATGTTGCCCTCATTTGTCTCTCTCTCTCGGCATTGCAATCTCTACTTCCACCATTCTACCCTACATTTCTCCATCTCCTTTTACTCCTTTTTTTTTATAGCTCAAATGGGTAATCATCATTAATCAAAATGAACATAGACAAAGGAAAATGATTCCCTTGAAGAAGAAAATGAATGAAGGAAAAAACTTCCTTTTCTTTTTTTAAAACATTTTAATCATCTCTCAATGTGTGCAATCTAGAGTGTTTAATAAAAGAGTTTCTTTTTCAAATGCATTTTACTTGTTTATATATTATTAAAAAAATTATGGAGGGGGAGGCATCATGTTTTGTTACATAATTCTTTTGGGGGGAGGGGGTGTCAAGCATTTGTTACAGAGTGCTATAGGGGGGGGGGGATCAATAAGTAAAAAAAAATCACATTACATAATTTGTGAACGGCCCCAGTATGGACTGAGTCATGGTAGATGGTGATCTATTCCAAATCCTTCCATAATCTAGCAATAATCTTAGCCCTTTCCAGTCCATCTATTTCAACACATGATCCACCCTCAGATCTATTTTATTTGTTCTTATTTTATTTAAACCCTTTGTTGCACAAGAGCAAACCACTGGAGATAATGAAATCAAACTTTGTCATGCTCTCTCTTTAGCAACACAATTACTGAAAAAAAATGCTTACCTTACATCTACTTGATGCATATATCCCGATAAGCCTACATCAATGAAACTCTAAAAGCTAGTTGACATTGTCTTCAGAAGTTTCACCTTGATATTGCCTCACAAGTTAGACTGTCAACAACAGCCCAATGGTGAAGCAGCTTGAGAGAGTAAACTGGCACATACAATGGCACCACCCATCTCTGTGACTCCTAGGATACTTGCCAGTTTTTTATCTCAGCATAGGCTCATCTCATAACCTCAAGGCTTTGCTTGACATTTTTGCATATTTTTAGGAGTTTTCCTGTCATGTTTCATCAATAAAAATCTTATATGTGCCTGTTTAAGGCAATTAGTATGACCTCATGTACCAATTTTCATTAGGATTGCACAACTACTTCTTGGTTGTACATTTCCTTTTGTCAATGAGTATATATACCCAAAAGCAAAAAAGTAACACCTGAAAGGATTCCTTATTAGAGGATTAATGTGAGAGAAGGACTCCAGTATGATGTCCAGGGCCACTGCTGTGTACCTGAACACATAGGCCTTACATTTTGCCTCAACATGCATGTTAATCAAATGTGGCATTCATGACATTTGCTTTCCCTTAATACATGATGTCTGCATCTGGGGACAAACAAGTTGAGGAGTTATAGAAGCCAATAACATCATGCTCATGAGGAACATGTGGTTGTTCCACATGTAAGTTTGTCCTCTCAGAAGTGCATTCCAATGCTTTGGCCAAAAAATCGCTCTTTGCATATTAAATTGAATGATGAGGGAGATCCCAAGTGTCACCACCCTAGTATGGTATATCAGAAGAAAACATGTAGGAGACACTGAAGAGTGGCAAGGACCATTGACTCTGATTTTATTATGATAGTTGAGATGTCTGCAAATATGGAAGTGATGTCTTACTGAAGGTTTTGGAGAATGGGGCTGTAGAATTAATTTTTTTTTATGTCCACAAACATGGACACCATGCACCAAAGGGTCAATCATAATGTCTGTATTTGCTTTTAATTCTTCAGTTGAAGTTAGCAGGTCAATGTTACACTTTTCAGTAGACTGAAACCCAAGATATTTAACTTTTCATTTTTATTGCTTTTAGGTTTGGATGTCATGCTATGCCAAACAAAGGACTAGAAAGGGTTAACTCAGTAGCTTAGTAGGCCTATCTCTTGTGAGGGGTCCTCTTTAGACTTTCATTCAGAATCTTAAAACCTTATTTGTATAGACCAATATTTGAATGCTAATTATCACCAAGGACCTGGAATGCTATACCAGCAATTAATTACTTTAAAATTTTCTAATTTGAGAATTAAAAGGTAATTATTAGCTGATAGCTTTTCTAATTAGCCATACCTCAGGTTTCCATCCAAGGACCTTGCGAGCAATAGAGATGTCAGGTCTCCGCTGCTTAGGATCATCCTGCTGGGCAGGAAGGTGCACTATCTCTGAATTTGACTTCACCATCTTCTTGATGTAATTGGCAAAATCTACAATGCGGAATTCTGTTGGGTTTCCCAGGTTCACAGGGAGAGTGTAGTTGGAGTTCATGAGACGCACCAACCCCTCCACAAGGTCAGATACATACTGGAAGGACCGTGTCTGCTTCCCATCTCCGTACACCTGATTCAAAAATATGCATATAACTGGTGTTTACTGGTTGTCAACACTGGTGATAATTATGGTTAACAGCAGCACTGGACATCACCACATGTAGCTGGTATTCTTTGGGGTAAGTCTTACCTAATGCAAAAAATTAGCCAAGGTCAAAAATCCTCTGTACATGTCTACCTTTTTAAATATATGAAGAGGTATAGATTGTAACACATCAATACATTTTTAAAGAGTAAATCAAATGAAGCAAGCAGGTGAATTAAACAGTATCCAGTAACTTGAGTAATGGTGAGGGGCTTCATATAGATCATGAATAATGTATCAGGGTCAAAACATATATTTGTACACATTTTCTGTGTTAGCAATTTTCATGCCAACTCTTACCTATTGTCACAAAGTACAGCTGAGAAATTTTGCCATAATACAATGAGAACCTTCATTTTTGTACACTGTGGAGAATTAGCAAAAGTATCACACCTTCATACACACAGAATCATGTCAAAGTGCAAAATGGTCCTGCACGGTCTATATTCATCTCTTCAATGAATTCCAAAAAGATCATGAGAAACTAACTTTTTTTTATGCAATCAGCAAAATCAGTGGGGCAACCAGGATATTTGTTTACCTATTTTCAGAAGTGCGAGCCTCCAAACCACTAACACATATAGAAGACAAAAAATCCTGATTGTGTCACTGAATTGTGGAAAAACAATGGAGCTTGAAAAAACCACAAATGGCCTGCAGCAGCTATGTTGGCCATCTAATAGGTGGGATTTTGAAAATGTTTACATAAAGATATGAAGCAGTTCAGTTCAAACCAAACATTTAAAATTTTCAAACAAACCTTGAGAAGTTCGGAAGTGTTGCTGCCCAGCTAATTTTGCTATCATCACAACCACACCTCACAAATAAATCAATTAAAGTATTAGATGGCCTAGCCTATGGCCCAGAATGGCAGAGCCTTGTAGGCCTAGTGCTTTAGGCCATGGGTGGCCTAAACTTTCAACCTCTTTCAATTAAAGTATTGATAATTACTGTTTGAAGCAGCGCATCATCAATGGAGGAATTCTGCAATGGTTCGAGCAGCTGCATGTTTGCATTCAAGAATGCAGAAGCCATTTTGAGCAAAACCATGGCCAAAGGTATGGATATCAAATTAGGCATAAACCTTCCACTTTATCTGCATTTGATGCTCTAAAAATTTGACTGATCTGATCAAATATACTTTTGCAATTATCAAAATCAAATTGGCAGATTTTTGTTAGACACCCTGTAAATAAAGTGTGTGATGGAAGCATTCTTTCACATCCCTGTTACAAAATCTGAATGACCCCTCATGACCAGTTTTTCCTAGTGATACTGAATTTGATAGCAATATGGATCTGTTCTTCATCAACTTTTAATGTCATTTTCACAGGTGTTAAGACCCTGTACAAGAACTAATCACTATCTGAATTAGAGGAAGACAGGATTAGACAGCATATGTTATTGGAGGAGTATAAACACACCTGTCTCTTTGAAATGCAACAAGTCTCAAGGACAGTTTCAGGGCAAAAACAAGAAGCCAAAAGTTCTACCAGCACTTTTTAGCAATATTCAAATTACTGTCTCAAAGAGCATTTGACCAAGAGATCTGAAACTTACTATGGATTAGTTCCTTGATTGACCCTACAAACCTACCAAATTCAATAAAAATCAGAGTGAGTCAGGTAAATGGCTAAGCTGGTTTCATATGAAACCCAGTCAGATAACTCAATGCCTTGGAAAAACACCCCTGAAAGTTAGAGTGCATCTTTTACATAGATGATCTTTTTAGAAAGTTTTTCTTCTCCAAGCAAGCTAATGAAAGTATTTAAAAATATATATAAGTTTTATTTATGCTATTCAAGATCAAAGGTCATGCTTTACAAAGGATGTGTTCATTCGATGACAAATTTGAAAAATAATGAAGCAAATGGAAAGATCTTTTCAAGAATTTTGATGAGATGTCTTTTGAAAATGAGGAGCATACAGTACTGCCAGAAAGTTTGAGGCAGGTGGGAAAATTTTGCAAGTCTATGAAATATAGAACAGTATATGAAAATATAGAACTTTTTTTTTCTGAAAAAATATAATTTTATTCAATTTACATTAGAAAAATACATATTTGTGCCAAGAAAGCATTTTTTATTTTCAATTCAAATTTTACTCTCATTGAAATAACCATCACCATGTTTATGATGGCAGCACAGATCCTGGGCATTCTGTTGATCAATTTTTCAACTGTAGCCGATGGAATGCCATTCCAGCATAGTTGCAGAATGTCCCAGAGATTTTCCTCAGATGAGGTTTGTCTTTGTCACACTCTGCGATCCAGTTCTTCCCACAACAATTCAATTGGGTTCAGATCAGGCAATTCTGGTGGCCAGTCCATAATTTTTATTATTTTGTGGCACTTCAACTCTTCCAAATAGCTCTTACAGATCTTGCTAATGTGTTTGGGTTCATTGTCATGCATGATCACATACTGGCCTCTGAACAGTTTTGTGCCAGAGGGAAATACTTGCTGTTCCAAAAGTCCCTGTACGCTCCTTTGATCATGATTTCCTCGATGCAATGCAGGCTTCCTACTTGATTACCTCCAAAGCAACCCCAAATGATTACTGAACCACCTCCATGCTTGACGGTGACCACCAAGCAATGTTCAGCAAATCTTTCACCAACAAATCTGTGCACCAATTTTCGACGTTTGCTGTCAAAGATTTCGAAATTGGACTCATCAGTCTAGAGCACTCGTTTCCACATTCTGACTGTGCAATCTTTAAGCTGGAGAACTCAATCCAGTCGTTTCTTCTCATTAACTGGATGCAGAAATGCAGAAGCGATTTTCATGTCACATCCATCTAGTCCAAACTCCTTTAAACAGTTTTTCACCATAGAAGTACTGATGTGAACATCATTGAATTGATTGTATAAGGACGTGATTTTGCCTGCAGTCAGTCTTCTATCTGATAAAGAAATGTTCCTAATTTCAATATCTTGCCATTTTGTTGTTTTTTTCGACCTGCTGGTTCGTTTTTGGCTCTCATGAGTACAAAATCTCTTGAAGCACTTCAAAGTTCTTTGTACGCAGCAATTGGAAATGTTCATTTTGGCTGCAATCTGAAATTGCAAGTATTCTTCCTCCGAATAAACAAGGATTCTTTCTCTTTCTGTAATGGTTAGATCCAATCTTTTGCCCATTTTTGCGACTTTTTCAAAAAATTTGAAAATGGAAAGTTGAATCTGTCTCTGAATATCCTTTGCAAGATCATTGGCAGCATAAGTATTACAAATATTTAAAAATGTAGTAATTATAACAAAATTGATTAAATATATTATATTTACGAGATTAAACCTTTTCAAAAATGTAAAAATTTTAACATTAATACACCTCATAACAAAGCTAGAAATAGGACGTGAAACATGTTCCTGTGTGAAATCACAAATAATTGAAAAAAAGTAAACAATAAGGAAGAAAAGAACAATTTTGACTAATAAAAACCATGACATATCATTTACATTCTCTTTGAAAAAAGAGCATTTCATTTTTTTGGTCTTTTTCTTGAAAAATAATCATTTTTGCAACCTGCCTCAAACTTTTTGGCAGTACCATAGCATTGTATAGGGGGTCCTAAAAAAAACCCTGGAAACACAAGATGATTTTTAAAATAACACCTCTGTTCCTTGAATGGAATGATAGCCTCACTTACTAGATAACACTACACCCAGATGTCTATCTCAACAAAGCCAATCAATATATCCTCTTGTTTAAAAAATTAAAATACAAAGCAAGTCTTACTGTGATGGACTGATTTTGTAGGGCCTGAAGGATGAAGTTGGAGACCACACGTCCATCATTCATGTGCATACGTGGTCCAAACGTATTGAAGATCCGTGCTACACGTACTTTCACCCCATCCTGATGTGCATATGCGTAAGCCAATGTCTCCGAGATTCGTTTCCCCTCATCATAGCAAGCCCTGGGACCTTTGTCCAATGGGATAAGCATTAAATCTCAATGACATCATATTCATCATGTAAAAAAATGAAAGTGTGTTTCATCTGTCATCTCATTGCAGGTCAGGTTTCCTGAAACTATTTTTTGAGTGAGAATTTATACTGAATCAATGATCTCTCAAAATTCCAACATGAGTTGTTATGCATTATGTCCAAAATCAAAGGGAACTAAGAGAGCTTCTAACTGTAGGGAAATCATCATGATTGGTACATGGAATTTAAAGCAATGAATGAGGAAAGAGGGGGCAATATCCACTCAAGCTCGGGAGAGCGCTCAGTTTTTTCTTGGAAAGGTGTATTATGAGAATATTAGAATTAATATTGTGGTTTGTAATCCAGAAGTCATAATGACAAATTTGTACTTGCAACGTATGCATACAGTTATTTCAAAACATTGCATTAAGTAAGAGTGGTGCCCAACCCATGGCCTGCAGGCAAAAGTGGCCCTCAAAGTGCTTACAAGTGGCCCACAAGGCCCTAACCCACAATAAATTCCCTTAGGTTTCCCTAAAAATTAGTCTCCTACAATACTAGTGACTGGCCTGTGCTGGCTGTGGGAGTGGGCTATGTGGACCCCTAGCCAAAAAGGTTGGGCACCACTGATGTAAGAATGCCTAGGGGGGTTACAAGACATATGGCCCACCCTGTGTTGTATGGAGTATAGACAAAAAAAAAGACAAGAGACTTTTTTAACCTATATATCTGGTATCCCCTTGAGTGGGCAAATGGCATAATGTCGAATTCCCTTTTGTCGTGATCACAAACATTGAATGACCTTATGGTTGCAGTCAAGAATAGCATGAAGCCAAATAATCTATTGGAAAAAATGTTGAAAAGCAATTTTTTTCTGGTCGATAAGAACATAAAGAAATTGGAGTCCAACTTGCAGTCAGATGTCAAATTGCTTCAAAACTTGATGGTTAGGCTAAATCTCTCAAGAAATCTAGCAGAGGCCACAAATTATGCTCTTTTTTTATTTTTTCAAATTTTTTTCTCTGTGAATATCACATTTCTTTTGTGATATTTTTTTGTTTCCCCCCTCTCCCCCCTTTCCAGCTCAATCAGTTGCTGCTTGGGGCCTACCCTAAAATTAAGGAACGCTCGACCTCGACACATGATATCGAAATGGGCGAAATCGCCTCTTGATATCACTAACTCTCCTGACTCCTGACTCCTGACGAACTGCTGCCTGCTTCTTAGTGATGCCATCCAAGAAAATGGAAGGCTTTGGCCATTCAAACCATTTCCCAACTTGTTATGCCTCACATTCAAGGATTTGGAGGGAATACTTTGTGACCTGCCTCTAGAATGCTGCATATCCATGAATGTCTCTCAGAAGTACACAGACATGAGTTCTGCTCCTGGAGGTATGCTCTTGAGCAGTTCCCAAAAATAATTGAGTACTAAGTGAAAAGGAATGAGACAATTTGCTGGGTCAATGGGCAAGTACAGTTCAAACCCCTTTCAAGGTCGTTAACTTTCTCTGAAAATAGATGACCATTCCAATTTTAGAAGGCCAGGCGTGCAGCCTATGAAGGCATTAACTAAACAAGGGATGAAGGCTAACTCTATTTGCAAAGTGAATGGAGTTAGCCCTAGACACACATTCAACATTATTGAACATATTTCAACTTTGACATTTTTGAAATTTCACTGTCAAGGTGTGACATTTTTTTATTCTCTACCATTCTATTCTTTTAAATTTTATGACATAGACATTCTTGTTGTTTGATGAAACATTCTTTTATGTTCTGTCCCAGAATTGTATATCACTGCTCTAACTGGAATTATTTTCCCAAAGCTTGCTCTCTTTATGGAGTGCTTCCAACATATCTTCAGGACTTCTTCCTAATTCATTGTGCATATGCAAGGCTATGAGTAATTATTTAAAAGAACTTGAATATTGAAAATGGATAAGCACTTATGATGGTAGAGGAGAGGAGGAAATGCCTTTTTGCTGTGATTACATGGCATTCAAGTCAAACTTCTCTACCATTGAAATTAATAACTTGGATGGGCTTTTCTTGGAGCTTGTTTTGATAAGCTTCCCAATTAATGACTTATGAATCAGGAAGTGTCAATACAGAGTTTGCTCAAATTTTATATTCAGACTTTTTGTTCTGAGTTTTCATTAGTTTACATATGCGAACAAGGCAGGCAGATTCTAGTCACTCTGAAGGGACTGGAGTCCCCAGTCCACTTTCAATTTCTGATTTCTTTTGAATAAGCCCATGTGAAAATTTCATATAAGACCATATAATGCAATACATATATGAACATATGTGAAACATGACACAAGTCACATAAAATCATATAAGAAGGAAAATATATGACCCCTTACATTTTCATTTATTGGCTCATATAAATGCACCATATACTGTCCATGTATGCCATGTCATATCTATAGATGGTGAGATTACCTGAATCATGCCTATATCCAAAAATCCATTGGTCCATAATCCATCAAATACTGTATGACCATTTGTATGCAAGTCACCATACTTTACTTGCAATCAACTCATTTTTTAATTGTTCATAGACCACAGTCAATTACTCCAAGAACTCATGTTTCATGGTGTTCAATGCCCTTGTTAATGAAGGTGAAAGTTTCAATATTATAGACTTGAACCTTTACAAGTATTTTCATCAGTAATGCTATTTCATGACAAAACTTGGCTTATTCGTGTAGGAGTACCTTCTTCATTTTGACTGACAACTCATAAGATAGATGGGAAAGAAAACTATTTATTCCTGAAATAATCCAATGAAGGAATTGTTCAATAAAGACACAGCACAGCTGTGCTCCCCACTTAACAACAAAAAATACATTAATATGAAGAAAAAGATGCATGAAATGCATAACAGTGTCCCAGAGTTCCTGTGCCCCCCCCCCTTCTCCTCCCACACTTTTTTCATGTGATATGCTTATGCTACCTAGAGAGGGTAGGGCCCAGTTTGAAATCCTGACTGGAATTTTATACAGAGGACCTTTCAGTTGGAATACAGCTGAATTTACAGTTGAAATTCAGCTGCTTCTGTAGATGGACCTCCAGCAAGAATAGCCAACAAAACATTCTTTTTCCAGCAGTGTATTGCAATTAGGAACAATCTGGATCTGACTTTACTTTCCAGCTGCTACCAAGTTGGAATGGGTCAGAATTTCCAACTGGGGTCCAGCTGGAAATTATAGCTGTTTCCAACTAGGATTTTAAGTTGGGGGGGTTCGAAATCAAACTTTTAGCAAATTATGGTACTTTAAAGGTTATACATAGCTAATATTTCATGTAAAATATAATGGGTGCATTAAAAATTAGTTGCAGAGGCATCTGAAGGTCAATTGCCCTCATGTGTAACAACCTCATGCAGTGGTGTATTTTCCAGGGAGGGCAGAGGGGTGCGGCTGCCCCCCCCCCCCAGCATCCCTGGGACAGGGCTTGGTGCCCCACTCTGCTGCCCTGTCCCCCCTGACTCTTCAGCCAAAATATACCACTGACCTCATGCTATGTTTTACTTACAACCATAAAACTTGTCTATGGATATTCACCACATATCAGACATGATGCCATTTGCCCATCACACTTAATATTGCAATGCAGGTAAAATATATAATGCACCATACAATTGTTAATATATGAATACATATATGGTGGTATATGGCAAATACATGTATATGATCATACATGACCATATAGAATCATACACCCTGGTCATACATGGAATTTTCGCATGAGAGTGCTCACTGCCTCATACACTTCATATAAAAATTTGAAGGTCTGTTGAAAACGTCAATCATGCACCATGCAAGTTTTGTGATTTTCACAAAAAAGATTATCTCCAGTGAAAACAGAGATTAACCCTCTTAGTATCATGGGCTGATGTTTTGACCACAAAATTTTTTTGCTGCTGGCTCCTAACAGGGCTGACAGGACAGTGTTGGGCATACCATTAGAGTGTGATGGACCTCTACTTAAATGCACATGGCACTTTTTGCAAATTTCTAGCCAAAGTGCATACAAGACAAGGAGAGTCAATTTAAAAGTCATTGAGTTTTATTTTTGCCAAAATTTGTATATCAGAAGGAATAGGTGAGCCTATGGGAATGGTAAACCTCACATGCAATTTGAATTTTTTTTCCAGGTCTTCATGGAACCTTGTCAACATCTTTTTATTCATATATTCACCAATTGTTGAATTAAGCTTTTGTGGCAGATAGCTGGATTCTTGTTTGAATCTCTGTGCTTTTGCTTTCATGATCAAATAAAATTCTTGAAGGCAATTCCCAAGCTTTGCTTTCTCTTACATGGATGTTACTTTCAGATGTTTTCAGATTTCATGATCTAGCTAAATAATTTAAATAAAATTGATGAGTTGCTGGATCATAAACACTTCAACACATTTTGCTACCACTAATACTTTAAAATTTATTTTTCTTTTTTTTTTTGCACCATTTATTTTTGGACACCTTTTACTACTTCTGCATAGAGAATGGTAGCATCTTGACAATCAACACAATGGGTAAAAGAGGAATTCAGACAGACCAATGGGGTTGACGTGTCCCCAGTAGGATTCCGGCTGAGGATGAACCTCTGGATCTCCATACACTTCAGATGTACTTGCTATCAAGATCATTGCCCTTGTTCTCTTAGCAAGGCCTAAACAATCAAAAAATGAGACATGAGTTCTTCAAGATATGGCTTTTGAAACTTGGAATACATCCATCTAGGGTGGTTTGGACATGCCACAACCATAAAGAAACCTAGGGATAGATTAGATTTGATGCTACGACTTTCTGAAAAAGCAAACATGGCAGACCTAAGACATGGATGGTGCCAATTGTGTTGGTTTTGATGGTCTTCACTGGGTTGTACATGTAGTGTGGTGGGGATGCAGGACTGGCCAGATGGTAGATCTGGTCAACCTGAAAGTCAATACATGAGTATTGATGCAATAACATTTTCCACAACCCTTTCATCAAACATTTAATTGAAAAAGTCTCACATTCCCTTTCATCCCCTCCCAGGCAGTTTTGATTCATAAATAACAAAAGGAGAAATTAACCTCCATGAAAAGTGGCATGACAAGGTCATGCTGAATCATCTCGAAGTTCTCATGGCCAATCCAGTGCTCAATGTTCCGCCGCCGTCCAGTGAAGAAATTGTCTGCAACAATTACCTCATGCCCATCCAACATCAACCGGTCCACCAAGTGGCTTCCCACAAATCCTGCCCCCCCAGTGATCTGTCAAGAAAAAAATCCCTTTGTTACTTGATGACATCTTCAGCCACAAGATTGCATAAAACCATGGAATAGAAGAGGTCTAAGTAATATTGACACTTTGGTCTTGCAAATTCCTAAGTGCAAATTATGTTCAGGTAAAAATACAAAATAAAAATAAATAAATTTATTTGATTCATTAGCTGTTTATAACCTTGAAATTGCTAATATGCAAAGTGGTCTGAGAAGAGGAGCATATCAATACTCTTATCTTCTCTTGTCTCTTAACCTCTTGAAAATGAATGACGTTCATTAACACAAACTTTCCCAAACTGAAACACGTTAGCATAATTACAGTTTGGCAAACTATGGGAATTCCCCTAAGGCTTAGTCATCATCATTATTCATCAAAGATACAGTAATATGCACCTATTAAGTGAATACAATCCACATCTCAAAAATGTGCTTTTTTGGTCAAATTAATCCTGTCTGAAGGGCAATTTGGCCAAAATTAATCCCATCCCCAAGTGGTTAATAGTTAGCAGCAGAGGTGGAGAAAGTTATTCTGCTCCCGCTAACCATGGTTAACTTCCCAGTTTCTCAGTCACTAATATTGCTTCTCCCTGCCTTGCTTTCCCAATTGGTCGTTACCTTCCTGGTAACCTAGTTACCAGGTTACAGAACTTTTTCCACCTCTGGTTAGCAGAGGAAGACAAAGACAGTTTGAATAATACCTATGCAAACTCTTTTACCTTTTCCCTGGCGTCGTCCCATTATCAGGTCGACATCCTCGAAGTGTTCGGATATCCCTGCCCGGGAAAAGGTTAATTTGATGCATGGTAAGCATCCCGATTACCCTCCATGAATCAAACACCCTAACAACTTGTTGAAATCTACTTCAGAGATCTCATCTAGGCATTGCCTCACAGTTAGACACTCAACAACGGCTCTATAATGAAGTGGCTTGAGGGAAAGAGAAGGGAAACTGGCGCCTTCAATAGTGCCTTCCTCTTCCTCAATTCCTCCGGCATTTAGCAAGTTTTCTCCGCATTGGCTCAACTCACGATATCGAGATTTAGCTCGATTTTTCTGCACATCTTTATGAGTTTTCCAAAACCTTCTAGGTGACCGCTTCGGGCGATTAGTAAGATCCCATAGCCACTATTGAAATTAGATTAATTGGCAAGTTTTCTCCAATAATATTAATCTCACACACTTGAAACTCTAATCGAATTCATAGTATGCAAGTGCGAGCTCATGTACCCAATTTCAAGATCGCTCAACTCCTTGGCCGTGCATTTTTTCGCCGATGAGCAAATAAAAGAACATAAAGCAATATTCAATCTCGAATATATGAGAGGAATGCAACTTTTTGCAGCTGTGCTTCAGCACAGCTCGCGAGGGAGATAACCCACGAGAAATTCAAGGACACGATCCCCTGAAGCGTTTTTCGTGATATTCCCCAGAATGCTTGTGAAACTGGCCTGCAAAGAACTACTTTCTAACGACTACACTTTTTATGATAACGCTACTTTCTGATCGAGCGTTTTGAGAACACGATCTGGAATTCATCGTACCGACTGCCATCAATGGGATCCAAACATTGGTAGGGATTGTTTCATGAAGGGGTGAGCGATTCTATCGCACATAAGTTAGCCCCCTCCACCACAGCCTTAAATATAAGATCTATGGGGGAAAAGCATGAGAAAAGGCATTCATCTTCGAATCTAATCGCCAACTTTTAGTTATTCGTGTGCCCCCGCCCCACGTGCAACACCCAGTATATTGAGGTTTTTCCCACAACGATAAAATCAAATCTGACCGAATCCAAACAAGGTGGCATACACCATAGAAAAATTATGGTCATTTCCCCATCAAAAAGGATGAGTTCCCCCCCACAACATCCTGTACTCACGATAAAGTTGTCAGATCCCGAGGGAAAATGCCTCACCCTAAGAACGCTCGACGAAGACTTCGGGACGGATTATATTAATAGTTTCAGGCGCCCCTACATTAAACAATCCCCTTCCCCACTAATTTCCCCACACAAATGAAAATGCTAACGATACTAGGCTCACATGAACCAGTGCGACAGACACAGGAGAACATCGAAAGATACCAGCAGACCTACCAGGATTCGCTTGCGGTCCTTGTAGGGAAGAAATTTCACCTCTGGATACTTGCGGACGCTGACAGCTTCAAGTTGCGACACTTTCTTCTCCAATTCACTGATCCTCACCTCATAGGACGTTTCAGTGGGTTCCTGGCGCGAGGCACTCCCTGATTCACCCTTACAACCACATGCGATCGCGAGGAGAATGAGAAGCCAGCACACCGAATACCCCATATTGCAAGACTCCAGTAATGACTTGTTTTCCTACATCCTGATCCTAACTGGTGAATAGAAGGCATATTCATAAGTCCAAAATATTGTTCATACATAATCTAAAACAGTTCAGATGTGAGAGTCAAATATGACCAAATACATAATAAATCAAGAAAGATGACCTAACATTTCAATGATACGTAGATCGCAATCCGACAAAAGCTAAAACTGACACCAGATAAAAATAATTCAAATCGCTTGGACAAGTAAGGAACGTAGATATAGTGAAACTTCTCTCATTCAAAGCGTGCTTATCAATTTAATAAAAGTGGAACCGTGATGTCCCTCCCAGTCAAAGCCACCCACCCCATGGCAACAGGTAGGATATGCCCGACCTCTAGCCTAGGAGATGAGGATAGAAAACAATTAAAACCCAGAACCACACTATTGCAAACAGCCTGCAGAGTCGGGGCAAAGCTTAAGAAAGTTAAAAGAAAGTGAAAGATCCCATCCTAGAAAATTGTCAGGCAGCCAGCGTCATCGGCACGCAGGCTACCCGACAGCGTTGAGGCCGCAAATCTGACCAAACAAACCCTATCCAGATATGTTTCTGTTGTCAGGTGCTACGGCTATAGATTTAAACAGTTAGACTGTACCTCCTAATACCTCAGAAGCAATCCCTTTCATATTCACTCCAGTCATGGCCATTGAAGTGCACGTGGGTGCGGGCTGAAACAAAAACGAAACCGTCCTTGCAGTAAATACGACCCAATAAAGAAATAAGAGGTTCCGATGCAAGTTTTTTGTGGAAATACCGGAGATGCAGCGACATGATCTCCGTGCCATCATGGTTGCTTGCACCTCCTCAACATTATCAAAGAGACAACCCTTAGGTGAGACTTTAGGCGCGGGAAGAGAATGAAGTCGCACGTAGCCGCATCTGGTGAGCATGTAGGATTGGGAAGGAAATTGACCTTGTGCTTAGCAAGGTACATAGACACGGTGACCGATGAGTGAGCTGAAGCATTGTTGTGCCGAATCAGCCAGTCTCCAGATCTCCAGTTTTGAGACCGAATCACATCGAATCTATTCCACAGTGGTGCACTGTGTCTTGGGCCATTTTCTCGAGGTGCCCTCCAACGTTTACGTGGCGCCATTTGTCGAAAGCGGGCAAAAAGTGATCTGGATACTGGCTAATTCAGCCCATCAGCGTTCCAGCTCACATATCCGTCACTGGGGCAACGTTAAGCACATCATGGTCAATGTCCTTCCCAATCCACTGTACCCATCAAATCCGGTTCCATGCGACTTTATTCTCTTCAGGCGCCTTAACCATTATCCGGTTTCCCCAGTAAAATTCGACCACCAACATCCAACCTTAGCAACAACACTAGCTCTCATTTTGGCTTAAATCATATCACTCATTTCCTTGTCGAGTCCTCAGCTGTGGATGGACATTGGACTTTCCTCGAAAGGGGGATAGCTAAAACCGAAATTCCCAAGGAAGGCTGAAATATGTCTGTCTACCAATGACCAGGAAGCCCAAGGGGGGGGGGGGGGGGTCTGACCCCCCAACCCCCCCCCCCCCTTCCGCCCCCGGACAGGGGTTGGAGGGGGGGGGGGGGGGGGGGGGGGGTCTGACCCCCTAACCCCCCCCCTTCCTTACGCCACTGGATTCCCCTCTATACGTGAAGGGCCTAATTGAACTGAAAGCTGGGCTTACCTAACATGTCTCCTTTTTTTTTCCAATGCCACACATATACAGGGATGGCAAAAATAGAGACAGACTTCAAATTTATGTCTCCCCCCCCGTTAAGACCATTTTCACAATACTTGCACTATGCACGCCTGGATATTTTCCCAACAAATATTTAAAATCCCATCGCTATCTGTAGTGCTGAGGCAAGGCTATGCCCAAAATTTTCAAAAGAAGTTGCATATTGAAAACGGACAGCTCGCGCTGGTGGCATCCAGGTCCATTGAACTTCTACAGAAAGTCATTCTTGGGGACTGGCTTTTCTTGCAGATGGTTTTGATAAGCTCTTTTCCAATTAATGACTAATGAATCAATAAGTAGCAATACAGAGAATTCGTTCTAAATTTATTCAGATTTCCCCTTGGTTTACAAAGGAAAATGAAGCAGGCCGTGACTGGCACTTTCGTCGCGCCAAAATTGTCGTCGACAGTTTGTTGCAAATAAAACGTCTCATGTACGTTTGGTCGTAGCACTTTCACGATCGGCATGGGTGAAAGTCAGGTAGAAAAATGCGCAGAAAGGAATGGGGCCCCGGAGTTCCTGACGGCTACTAAGAGAAGAGAGGGGAGGGTTTGGGTTGCAGGCTTTCTTGTTTTCGTGAGCTGCACGGTGCATGTGCAGTCAAGGGTCATCGCACGAATGGCACTAGAATACGTTATAACATCCTGCTGCCAAGCTGTGAGGGTAGGGTGGAGAGGAGAGATGAACAAGTGCACCGAGCAAAATCATGCATCCAGTTATGATCGCGTCCATGTGTCAAAGGTAATTGGGGAACTAAACCCGCGACTCAAAATTTTCAGGAACCGATACGTAGACTGCTTCCCATAAGCTGCCTCTTGCTGTTACTGGACGAGCGACAGGGTAACTCTTGAACAATGCTTCATGAGAAATCAATGATATTACTAGTACCTACGAAATACCATTAGCACACATAAAAATTTTGTTCTCCATTGGTCGAATATCAGAGGAAACTCGAGATAAATGTATAAAAGAAAGCATAACACAAGTATGGCTCGTCTGCCTAACCTATACTGGATTCTCCAATTCCTGAAATGCCTTAAGCAAGCAAAAATAGCACACCCACAAAGGATCACCGAAGAAGCAAACACAAATGATAAATGAAATAACAGGCTTAAAGTAAGATTGCTCAGTCACCATGAACTACAAGGTTAACAAATGGCAAAGACAAAGTGGTACACCAACAGGATTACTCATGACCCAGACCAAAGTCCAAGGTGAAAAAATTACAATTCATTGGGTGAAGAGAAAGAAAGAGGACAAAAGTAGACTGGGACAGTGACAGGAAAGATAATGAAAATTACTCAATCATGAGCCTCAAAGCAGTTGGCAAATCAAAGATGCTAGAACTTCATTCATATCTCTAACAAACAGGTACTTATCTGTAAGAGAATTCCATGGATGGATTTTGACCAGTCTTGGCCAGGGTCAGTGGATTCCAGACCCCTCCCACAAGCATTTCTATCAAGAGTAGGCCTCAAAGGCCTGACATTGCCAGTAATCCTCCTGAGTCAAACTGAGGCTGCAAGAACTCAAACTTGAGGTGGGTGTAGTGACATGGTTAAATGAATATAAATAGAGACCCAAATCCTGCTCTAATGGATACTACAACAAGGTGATGTATTTTATTATTTGTCAGTACCACTGATATGCCCAAATAGAAACTGAAGAGAGACTGGGAGGGATCAGGGTGATAAGGTAGCACCTATTATACTCTCATCATGTGTTTCCACAAGTATTCATTTACATGATGGCATTGTCAGCTAGCAGGTGTGCATCAAATGAGGTCTTCATTGCCACCTTTAGAATTTCATGTTTCCATAACCAGTTTCAAAGAGAGAATTGTGGATGGGTTATAATTTGAGTAAGTAATCAAGCAGGCCATTATTAATCAGATTAAACTGCTTGACTGATTAGCAGCCAAAATATAAAGACATGAGATCAGCATGGAATAAAATGCATCATGCTCTCACTCTACAGACATTCATCTGGATGATGGGCTTCCATCAATTCCTGAAATTTCACTCAGTTGCATATTTTTTAGGGGAAGAGGGGGTGACAACACACTCCCCTAGGGGCTGCCTGGGACACCCCACAAATGCATCAATCAATTATTTTTCAATATTTAAAATTAGATCTAATTCACAAAGTATGAAAAGCTCAAATGAAAAATATGCAAGGAGCATTCAGAGTTGCATACTTACTGTTTCAAACATTCTGTGCATCGAGTTGGAATTCACAGGAAGTCAAGACATTCTGACAGTCACATGCACTTCAGAGTTTATTTGCCTGACAGTACATTGGTACTGTATCTTCTTTTATGAAATTGGTGATATATAAAGTCACATTCCTCCTGATTCTTCATTTGGTTCAATTTTGATTGGTCCAAGTCAGTCTCACTCTCAATTTTGGAAGACTCACTCAAAATGAATTTTGTTCCCCAAAAATGCATCTGGTCAGGCTCTACAGCAATGTACAGACTCAGCACATATATATCCCTAAGCCCATGCTGCAGGCACCACTCAACTAGACACTTCTTCATTCAATCAAGGTAAATTCAACTAATTCAATATAACAATGCCACTGAGATGCATAATGGCAAAGTCCTGGCAAACCACATAGAAAAATAATGGAAGTCATGGCAGTGGGAAACATATGCAGTGGCAAAACCACGTGAAGGAAAGAGATTGAGGAGAATATGTGTTGAGGCACCAAATGTTGATCAATCCTGAAGGTCAGAGTGAGACTTTACCAGAGGTGGCCCATTTTAGAGCAGCATCCTTAAGCTTTTTATGGGCATCATCAGCCTGCTGAACATCACCTCGAGCCTTCCCTCCGCCAAAGTTCTCCTTCAACACATGCATGAAACCTAATGTTGCCTTGGTTGCATTCTTCTTGTACCGTTCTAAGCCAAAGGCCTCAATGGCAAACTTGAAACCAAACAACGATGATGAAATCCAAGCTTGTCGTTTTGCTAACGTCCATTGCTGATGTTGTGGATCAGCAGTATACACTGTCTTTTCCTCTACTGTCATGGCTCGGTTGAACCCAATGTTGCGTGTGTAAGTGATGAGTGATTTCAACTTGGGGTCAACAATAGATTCTTCCACAATGCACACTGTCCTTGAAGAAACAAATGCCTCTCCCCATTTTGGAAGCTTATTGGTCTTGATAAAGAGTCGCTTGGAATATAGTTTATGCCCTTGTAGCTCTTGAAAGAAGGTGTCTTCAGTGAGCACATGGGTGCTGTGGGGGTTGGGATATCTCCTCCAGAAGGCCTGAGCAACATGGTCCCATGTGAATGGAATGCTTGCTGAGCCTTCAAAGAATTTCACCATTATTCCTGATGGGGCTTGAGAATATTCTGAACCCAAGACAGAATTCACCCAGAACTAGGTTTTTCGTCCTTATACCAGGAAATGTATGAGGTCTGTGCATAAGTCCAGCATCTGCTATGAAACCAAAAGAAGGTTAAATGCAGGCCATAACTCCTCTCCATGAAGTCACATTTTTAAACAATTTGTCTGAAGCCTATTTTGTTAATTGTTGAAAGACAACAGCAAACAATCCAACTATTTTTATTTAAATGACAAAACCACCCCAATTATTAAATTCAATTATGCAATGCATGTCAGGCATCAATTGAAGATGTAACATGAGTTGAGATATAATCAGTAACAAGTAGGGATGTAACAATGGGGAAATTTTCTGAAATTCTATTAATTCTATACTCTGCCTTCCAATATTGCTGACAACACTGAGAGAGCATTTCTTTGACTCTTCCTAAGTTTAACAAGGTAATATCATTTCAATGTCATTACATCACTTCCTCCAAGTGAGGAATTTTCATTTGCCTCATTTCCTGCAAGGGTAGGCTTCACATGGCATCTGCAGACTAAGAAGAGAAGAGACAGTAGAGTCTGATTACAAATTTACGGCTGTATGCTCGTGCTAAGCCAGGAAAATGAGCGAGAAAAATGAAGGAAAAAGGCACTGAGATGACAGAAGTCACTTTTGTGCAGTGTAGGAAAAATATATATTTTTCCCACGAACTTGAGGCAACAAATTGGAATTTCCCTGGAAGGATATGCAAGCGGACAAAGTGGGCCACCCACCCACGTATCTCTGTTCCCGTGAGCCTTGTTCACAGGTTTGCAAGGGTTTTCCTAGCCTGCTTCTGTGTAGATGAGATAAAGCAAGAAACATGTTTTTTTTTCATACTTCTGTCTCACTGACTTCAGGCCCCTCCTTGCATGATACTGCAGTGCACCACAAAGTACATTCCAGATCATGCAAATTCTCACCAGGGCCAAAAACTTTCTTGCAAGAAAATTCTGTCCTTCCTTCTCCCCATTACTCATAAAATTAAAATACATGTTGCTGTTGCATCAATTCTGCATCTACAATTCAGATCAATGGATAGATGTTTTCAAAATTACTGCAGTAATGGTCCTAATTCTAGCATCCACATGCACAGCAACCAACACGATGCCAAATGTTAACTGGAGAAGCCCATGCACACATGGTTTGCACATGCATACTGCAATGCATTCACATAAACATAGGATAGCAACAGAGCATTCCATTGAATTCTTGGTATTTATTGAAATCTTTAATATCGAGTGGTTGATTGAGGGGCAGAGTGTCATCATACAAGTGCAATATATGAGGACTGTTCATTTAATTCATGGGCAGGTGCTGTTTACACATACCTGCCTAGACCCCATCTGGATGACTCTTGCCATCCACTCTGTCTGTGAATTAAATGAACAGCCCTTGCATATTCAATGTGTACTACATTAACAGGCATCATGAATCTTCATGACAAGATGTGAACACCTCTGGAAGTACACTTACTGAAGGAAAGAGAGTGTGCTCATTTAAAGGGCTATGGGAACTATCCCATAGAGTATGTGCTTTAAAAAAAAAAAGCCTATAATGTTTGATATCCATTAAGTATAACTTTATGGAAACAATAAGCTAAAGTTGCACTTAGTTCCAACAACTTTGTCAGATGCATCATGCAACAGTGGTGCAGGGGAATAACAGGCAGAGCACCCTGAGAAGTACCACCATACCACACCTTGATCCAGGCAGATGACTTCCCTGCCATGGTTGCCCCATTACATGGAGAAGTTTATTCAGCGTTGAATGTAGGAATGCAAATTCAGTCCTAATTGGAAATTAGTTTCACAAAACAACATTGTGATTCATATACAATGTTCACAGGGAATTGATTGTGTGCAAAAGACAAGGGAATATCCTCCTCTCCTATTTTTCTTACTTCTCTAGCCATTTGTAAGTAGAAAATCTATCCTTCCAATGATAAAGTTGTTATATTTCCCAAACAGATTTTTGTCCTTGAGGGGAAAGCAGAAGCAGGACACTCATTATATCTTCAGCCATAGCCCAAGTTACAACCAGGAACACAGCATTTATAGGGTATTTCTCCAAACCTCATAAATCTTGATGCAATGCTCATGAAAATAAAATAAAATAATGCAATTGCACAATACCGTGTTGCTTTCACCTACCAGCTGCTGGACAAAGTGATGCACATAAGAAGCCTCTAACTGGATTCTCCCATGGCCAGAGTCCCAAGTATAAATAGCATATGCTTTCATGACCATGGTATAAGATGTGGTTTAAGCACAAAGGACTGAGATCCCACCAGTTGTTCCAAAGCATCCAAATACAGGATATCAAATAATGGACACTCCCATATCTTTAATATCTTCACTGAATGTGAGTGTATAAGCTTCATATTTTGCAAGAATGTTCAGTAATTGCAGGATATTTTTTTTGCACATGAGCATGACATTTTTCTTTTGATATTTTCATAGAAATGGCAAAGCATGAAACAATGCATTTTTATGGTGCTATAATACTATTTGAGTCAAAGAAGTCTAGAGACAGTGAAAAGGGCATTTTGCAAAGAGTATTGAGAGAGACGGCCCATTGAAGTCAACGATCAGCAGATTAATAGGCAAGTTTAAAAGGACAGGGGATGGAATTTTGTTCCAGCTGTACAGGGATTGGGGCCCTTGCAAGAAACCTGGTTCATGCAGGATGGTTCAAGGCCTCATTGCACATAGGAGATGTTTGAGTTCTTCAACTAACATTTTGACGATGGGATTATTGCTCAGGATTAGAAAAAGGCATCTAGAAAAGGAATCAACTGGCCTCCTTATACCCTGAACCCCAATTCAATTAGTTCCTCCATTAAAGATAAAGTTAAGTTCATGTAAATAACCTGAAAACCATCAAGGAGTTCCAGGATGTCATTGAGAGTGAAATTAAAGAGATTTCCAGAGAGGCACTAGCTGTCACTCAGAATTTTTATGCTCGGCTGTGTCACGTGGTTGCAAGCAAGGGCACCCAAATTGAGCACATTATCCCATAATCTCCTGCAGTCATAGTTTAATATGCCATTTGAGTTTTGTTTCTAGCTTTCGTAAACTTTGAGAGATATATCTTTGTTTTGGGAGTATTCATTGTTTGACACCTTGTATGTCCAGGCCTAGCAGTAGATATTTCCTTTATTCAAAAACATATTAGGCAAGACATGAGCATCATCCTAATACCCCTCTTCATGTGAAAACACAAGCCCTTTGCCATAGCTGGATCTCAGCTAAATAAAGGATCTACATAAATCTTTAGGCAGCAACTACTAGTCAAGCTGACTCTGACGCATCTTCAGGGTTGAGCTGGGAACTGTGGCCTCTAACTTCACTCTTAACATAAAGCTTCTGGCAGCCCACTAAACACAGGTATGTCTTTTAAGGTGGGGGAAGGTGCTTCCTTCACCTTGTGGGAAGGTTTTCACCAATCTTTTTTGCCTTATCAACACAAAACTAGACAGCTCTATTATTTCAATAATGAAGGGTATCAGGGTCATTTGCCTGAGTCAAGTGAAAAATTGTCTGACTCAAGAGGAAAACATGGTAAAAACCTATTGCATCATGTCAGGATAGGAAATGGATGACATGTACTTTCACTTGTGACATCATGAATGCAATCACTATGGAATATGCAACAGCTTTTTTTACTTTTAGACCTAGCATTTGAATTATTTTTTCACTTCGGAAAGCCAGCTCAGCCACGACTTAAGAGGCTGAGCTCTCTTCTATAGAATGCAGGTGTCATCAACTGAGGAGACGTTATGAGTCAGGTGACTTCCATATGATCTTTTACGTCAGGGCCAAACCAGCTTGGCCAACAGACAGCCAAATCTTTATGCATACCATAAAGCAAGATATCGGCCTAAAGCAATTGTAACTTCGAACCCAATGAAAATCGCGCCAAAAATTTACTACCCCAACCGATGTTAGCGTTGGTGCAGAATCAGATGCCCATTGCTTATTAACTGGAGAGCACATCAAATATTTGCGTACGGAGTATGACAATAAGTCAATGCATGATGAAGAGGAGAGAAACCTGATCCCATGCATGCAGCCATAGGGAGTTGCTGTGTCCATCAGTGTTGCCGAAATAAGGAATGTATTTTATTCATGACTTGTTCCAAAAGGAGTGTACTGAACTACAAGAAAAGTTTCAAAGTTCGGGTGCGAATGCCATGAGGCATTTTTACCTTTCATGACGTAGTGTCAAGGTCGAGCGTTCATAGTTAGGCCTAACCCGCCAAATGGATCATTTTATGGAAGTGAATCCACTTTCTGCCTGGTTACTTGGGCCTCTGGATCATGAGGACGTCTCAACAAACCCCTCCCCCATGATCCGGAGTCCATACACGACTTGAGCAACGCACTTCAAGAGTGGGATGCTATACCTCAGGAAGCCATCCGAAATGTTATCAGCAGCATGAGAAGACGATGTGATGCTGTGATTCAGGCAAGAGGGGGTCCGACAAGGTGCTGAGATTTCAATATTTCTCGAAACTCTATGCAGTCAAGAAAATCAAGTGGGTGACCGATGTCCCTAAGTGACAGGAGTTGAAGATAGGGATTCTTTCTCGTCACCAGTGGCATAGCGTGGTTGGCATGGGCCCTGGTGCAAGGAATGATACGGGGCCCGCTGTCTAATTTCTTACTATTGAATTATGTGGGCGTCGTATTTTTTTGCTAGTTTTCTCCGGCAGCATATAAATCGTCGTCGGTCGCTTAAGTCAGTGTGGAAGGGAGTGGCGGATATAGGGGAGGGGGCTGTTTCCTAGTTCCCAGCCCCCCCCTCTCTCATTTGCCACCACCCTCCGTCCCAGCAAACATAGTAACGTTGTGGGAACGTTCCCCCAGAGTCAATACAGTGTCATCGACGTTGAAGGTCAAAGGTCAACGTTGTGTGAATATTGTAGCCGTGTTATGACATTATGATATCTTTT